ACATTTTCACTGGACAGTTACTTTAATTAGATTGAAGACTACAGTGTGTTAGTTAATCTACAGTAAAGTTTCCTTCATAGTGGGTCAGAACCCACATGGTGAGTTGTAGCTAGTTTCTACAGGATCGCACCTTTGGTTGTGGCCAGGCATGTTTTGTTTCTTTATCTGGTAGGGCACAGGTCAACTGTGAAAGCTTAAGTTGGTTCATGGAGCGAAAACCATCACAGAAACCATTAAAACTATGATAGACAATGTGGGTGTTTCTGTGTTATCCAGGTACAAAGTGGAAGACAGATTCCCTTTGAAGTACTATTATATTTACACTACCGTTCAAATGTTTGTTTTCAAAAGAAAATCAAATTTTCTGTCTATTAAAATAACATCAAATTGATCAGAAATACAGTGTAGACATTGTTAAGAGTGTGCAAAGCTGTCATCAAGGCAAAGGGTGGCTATTTGAAGAATCTCAAATATAAAATATGTTTTGATTTGTTTAACACTTTTTCGGTTACTACATGATTCCATATGTGTTATTTCATAGTTTTGATGTCTTCACTATTATCCTACAATGTAAAAAATAGCAAAAATAAAGAAAAACCCTTGAATGAGTAGGTGTGTCCAAACATATCTATATTCTATATACTGGTCTGCATCATCATCATCAGCTACGTACCACAGGGGATGACATTGTCGAAGAAGCCTGGGCGTTCTCTGTTGATCAGGGCGTATGTGTCCAATTTCATACTGCTGGGCTATGTGAATGTGTGTGTGTTGACACCCACCTCCAGCTCCAGGTGCACACAGCAGACCAGGCCCTCCCTGGCCACGTCTTCTATGGCCTCACGAGACAGACCATACCAGTGGCCCGCATACTGCATCGTCTGGATGAATTTACCCTGAGAGAAGAGGGAGAAGGAGAGAGAGAGAGAGAGAGAGACAGACAGACGGAGAGAGGGAGACAGAGAGGGGGGGGGGGGGGGGGGGGGGGGCAGACAGAAAGAGAGAGAACAAAAGTTAACAGAAAGCTGTAAGTTGGGACAGTCAACTATCGTGGGGTGCAACATTTACTTAAAGTTATGAGTCAAATTCATATTCCAAAATGGACATGGTCGTTGATTGACCTACAGGGTCCTACACAACCACTGCTATGTCCAGAGAAGAGTAACAACCGCAGCTATAATGTCCCCACCTGTGAGGTGAACTCCTGACCCTGCAGTCAGAGGTACCTTCACTTCCCCTGCTACCCTGTAGTTCACACAGCCGCGCCCTTTGACCCCTCGTCTACTTGCACCTGGGGCCGGTATGCTCAGCGTTACGATCCATCACGCTTTACGACCCTACGGACAGCTCTGAGGACTGTAACCTACTCTCAAGGTAGGCTATACTGTTTCCCAATATTCAGATAGAAATTGAACATATAGAATTGGTAAGGCTCTCATGTCCACATTCTATATATATCACATTTCTAGTTGATGTTTTGCTAAAAGTTGTGCCCTACTGATAGCCTATTGAGAGACTCCCTCAGGAACTTGACCCTTGTCGTGCTACAGTTGGTTTAACTTCACCCCCTATTTTTAGAGGGTTGGAAACCATCAGGCCCAAATTACAAAGCACCCTTATCGTTACTCTATTGAGTGGAACAATACAACAAGCACAGGGACTGCTGATTGAGGCACATTTTCAGGATGGAGCTGTGTGTGTGTGTGTGTGTGGTAGGGAATACGAGTCAGTGATGTATGTACAGTGGGGAGAACAAGTATTTGATACACTGCCGATTTTGCAGGTTTTCCTACTTACAAAGCATGTAGAGGTCTGTAATTTTTATCATAGGTACACTTCAACTGTGAGAGACGGAATCGAAAACAAAAATCCAGAAAATCACATTGTATGATTTTTAAGTAATTCATTTGCATTTTATTGCATGACATAAGTATTTGATACATCAGAAAAGCAGAACTTAATATTTGGTACAGAAACCTTTGTTTGCAATTACAGAGATCATACGTTTCCTGTAGGTCTTGACCAGGTTTGCACACACTGCAGCAGGGATTTTGGCCCACTCCTCCATACAGACCTTCTCCAGATCCTTCAGGTTTCGGGGCTTGCTTGTTTGTAGGTGACCAAATACTTATTTTCCACCATAATTTGCAAATAAATTCATTAGAAATCCTACAATGTGATTTTCTGGATTTTTTCTTCTCATTTTGTCTGTCATAGTTGACGTGTACCTATGATGAAAATTACAGGCCTCTCTCATCTTTTTAAGTGGGAGAACTTGCACAATTGGTGGCTGACTAAATACTTTTTTTCCCCACTGTATGTATGTGGTAAGGGAGGAAGGGTCCACATTTGAACTGGTTTGATGTGGTCTGAATGATCCAGGGAGTCTGTCTAAAGAAAAGGAAAAGCTTCCCAGGTTTCCACAGCAAGCCATCTTCATCAGGGTTTCAGTCTGGAGAACTTCACCTGAGACACTTCCTCTGGACTTTACAGTGTGCACGGTTAGGATCCCCACTTCACCTGAGACACTTCCTCTGGACTTTACAGTGTGCACGGTTAGGATCCCCACTTCACCTGAGACACTTCCTCTGGACTTTACAGTGTGCACGGTTAGGATCCCCACTTCACCTGAGACACTTCCTCTGGACTTTACAGTGTGCACGGTTAGGATCCCCACTTCACCTGAGACACTTCCTCTGGACTTTACAGTGTGCACGGTTAGGATCCCCACTTCAAAGGGTTTCCCTCCAAATATCACTGTGAGAGAGACCTCTATTTATAAAGGTCACACGGCACTTACATAATCACCTTTAGAAATAAAACACGAATGGGCCTCAAGTTAAAAGAAAGTTGGCCGGGCAGGCAGGCATACTCTATAGTACCTCAGGCCCCCCGTGTAGGATTTCTAGGAGTTCTTCCTTTGGGAATATTTGATAACTCTTGTGCTTTGAAGTGTCTAATATTGTAGATATAAGGAATATATTTATGTAGCAAATAACTCAGTATGACATAACTCTAAAAGACAATTGTTAAAAAAGAGAACAGCTTACAAAAAACTTCAAACCAGAAGACTTGTCATGTCTAGGCTACACACATTTGCACAAATAAATTGCTGGCTAGATGAACATACTGTTTATTTAAATTCTGAAGTATGATGAATATGTGGTGGTGTCATGGACAGGGCTAACCATGGATTTTTTAACATAAACATTATATCTTTACGAATTGAAATACTTTCAATTAATACCAGACTGACACACCATCAGTGTGTTTGAGGGGATCAGTTTGAGCAAGGTGAGGTGCAGAATCACTAATGTTGATCACACAACGGATAGTTATTTGGGATGCAAGGTGATTTGTAGATCAGTAATTCTGCGCAATCACACTGCAATGTAGTCAATCTCAAACACGTACCATGTGAATCATGTTCTGAAAGTCTTCCTCCGTGACAAAATGATAGTCGCTCCCGTCCTCTTCCCCAAAGTAGGGACCCCTGGTGGTATGGCAGACTCTGTGACAACAAGAGACAAATGGATCCATTCACAATACAGCAATACAAGCTAGCAACTCAATTCTATTGTACGCGTACACAGTTTAGCAGGTGTTATGGCGGGTGCAGCGAAATGCTTATGTTCCTTGTTCCTATCAATCAATGTAGTAAATATCAACAAGCGCACAATGATCCAAAATTAAAAACGAATCAAAACTCCAAAGGATCATAATGGTATTGCAACACACCGAGACAGAAAGACGAACAGACTAGATATATAGACAGACACGTGCCACACACTCGCTTTCATGCACACACTCCGACTCCCCTATACAGGTGAGGTGGAGCACTCCAATGTCCACATCAACTGGATCTTGTCATTGAGCTCTTGAGCTCCTGAGTGGCGCAGTGGTCTAAGGCACTGCATCGCAGTACTAACTGTGCCACTAGAGATCCTGGTTCGAATCCAGGCTCTGTCGCAGCCGGCCGCGACCGGGAGACTCATGGGCGGCGCACAATTGGCCCAAAGTCGTCCAGGGTAGGGGAGGGAATGGCCGGCAGGGATGTAGCTCAGTTGATAGAGCATGGCGTTTGCAACGCCAGGGTTGTGGGTTCGATTCCAGTATAAAAAATATGTAATCACTAACTGTAAGTCGCTCTGGATAAGAGCGTCTGCTAAATGACTAAAATGTAAATGTAATGTCATTTAGGAGGGGTAAGTATGTTAACTGTTTTTAACGTTAGCTCTGGAGAGGAGAGGGGCTTGGTGGTGGTGGGTTTTGGGATGTAGAGGGAAGTGTGTGTGTGTGCATGAGTGAATGTTTGTATGTAGAGCAGGGCTCTCCTACCCTGTTCTTGGAGAGCTACCATCCAGAAGGTTTTCACTCCAACCCTAATCTAGTGCACCTGATTCTAATAATTGGCTGGTTGATAAACTGAATCAGGTTAGTTACAACTGAGGTTGGAGCAAAAACCTACAGGAGGGTAGCTCTCCAGGAACTGGGTTGGAGAGCCCTGGTCTAGAGGTTTCTAATAAAACCAGACGTGAGGTGAAAGCCATGTCCGGCAGATGTTCTTTTGATTTCAGCGCTCCAGTATACGTGCTCTCTCTACCATTCTATTTACTGCATGTATCTTTATCACTCGCCATCACTCATGTGTTGGAAGTACTAAACATCTGGTTTAACAGTATGGAAGTATTATGTATCTATGGATGGGGAACCAGAGGGGATCCTAGAGAAATATATTTAGCACCATCCTAAACAATAACCCTAACCCTAGCCTTCACCTGTGACCAGGCCTTCTCATATTTAAGCTAGCTGCATCCTTTGATAAAGTCTATTCCAATGAGCACAAAACCCTAGAAGCAAAGCTAGCCAAAAGTGGTGCACTATATAAGGAATAGTGTGGCATTCTGGATGCATACAAGCCCACAGAGTTTGGCCACAGCTTGCCAAAAGTAGTGCACTATTATGTAAGAAATAGGGTGGCATTTGGCCCTTGGGACTCACCCGTAGGCGAAGAAGTCGTTAAACTCTCTCTCTTCCCACAAGCCTGGGGCCAAGTCAACAGCAGCATGGGGTAGGGAGAGTCCAGACTGGGTAGGGTGCTGGGAACACACAGCAACACATGGACGATATAGTACCATTTAGAGAGAGGGAGAGCACAAGGATAAAAAGTCTAGGAAGTACTTTACCATTGTTCAGAACAACTAGCCAATCAGAAAAATCTGATTTTTCTAGGTCAGTTTCTATGATGTATGAATAGAGCATAAATGTCAGAAAAGCTAGGGTTCTTCATTTTTAAAGATTGCGAGCACAAGTTAATTTAGTAAGTAAGCTTTATTTAGATTATTCATCGTATCGACTTCTTATTGGCTGAGAGTCATGTTATGAGGAGGGTAGTCCAGTCAGGGTAGTTGACGGATCCTGCTATTTTTACCTATCATTGATGACCTGAGGCTGCATCAGCTGGTATACCATGTGGCTCATGTGCTCCCTGGCCGCCACCACCTCCAGAGGAGGGTCGTACTTGTTCAAGGCCGACACCTGGGGAACACAGGGGGGACGTTCATTTGTCACAATGTTCACAGTCGACACCTGGGGAACACGAGGGGGGGTGACGTTCATATGTCACAATGTTCACAGTCGACACCTGGGGAACACGGGGGGAGACGTTCATATATCACAATGTTCACAGCCGTCACTTGGGGAACACAGGGGACGGGGACGGGGGGGACGTTCATATGTCACAATGTTCACAGCCGACACCTGGGGAACACGGGGGGGGGGGGGGGGTAAACGTTCATACAGTGAGGGAAAAAAGTATTTGATCCCCTGCTGATTTTGTATGTTTGCCCACTGACAAAGACATGATCAGTCTATAATTTTAATGGTAGGTTTATTTGAACAGTGAGAGACAGAATAACAACAATAAAATCCAGAAAAAACGCATGTCAAAAATGTTATAAATTGATTTGCATTTTAATGAGGGAAATAAGTATTTGACCCCTCTGCAAAACATGACTTAGTACTTGGTGGCAAAACCCTTTTTGGCAATCACAGAGGTCAGACGTTTCTTGTAGTTGGCCACCAGGTTTGCACACATCTCAGGAGGGATTTTGTCCCACTCCTCTTTGCAGATCTTCTCCAAGTCATTAAGGTTTCGAGCCTGACGTTTGGCAACTCGAACCTTCAGCTCCCTCCACATATTTTCTATGGGATTAAGGTCTGGAGATTGGCTACTCCAGGACCTTAATGTGCTTCTTCTTGAGCCACTCCTTTGTTGCCTTGGCCGTGTGTTTTGGGTCATTATCATGCTGGAATACCCATCCACGACCCATTTTCAATGCCCTGGCTGAGGGAAGGAGGTTCTCACCCAAGATTTGACGGTACATGGCCCCGTCCATCGTCCCTTTGATGCGGTGAAGTTGTCCTGTCCCCTTAGCAGAAAAACACCCCCAAAGCATAATGTTTCCACCTCCATGTTTGACGGTGGGGATGATGTTCTTGGGGTCATAGGCAGCATTCCTCCTCCTCCAAACACGGCGAGTTGAGTTGATGCCAAAGAGCTCCATTTTGGTCTCATCTGACCACAACACTTTCACCCAGTTCTCCTCGGAATCATTCAGATGTTCATTGGCAAACTTCAGACGGCCCTGTATATGTGCTTTCTTGAGCAGGGGGACCTTGCGGGCGCTGCAGGATTTCAGTCCTTGACGGCGTAGTGTGTTAGCAATTGTTTTCGTGGTCACTATGGTCCCAGCTGCCTTGAGATCATTGACAAGATCCTCCCGTGTAGTTCTGGGCTGATTCCTCACCGTTCTCATGATCATTGCAACTCCACGAGGTGAGATCTTGCATGGAGCCCCAGGCCGAGGGAGATTGACAGTTCTTTTGTGTTTCTTCCATATTGCGAATAATCACACCAACTGTTGTCACCTTCTCACCAAGCTGCTTGGCGATGGTCTTGTAGCCCATTCCAGCCTTGTGTAGGTCTACAATCTTGTCCCTGACATCCTTGGAGAGCTCTTTGGTCTTGGCCATGGTGGAGAGTTTGGAATCTGATTGATTGATTGCTTCTGTGGACAGGTGTCTTTTATACAGGTAACAAGCTGAGATTAGAAGCACTCCCTTTAAGAGTGTGCTCCTAATCTCAGCTCGTTACCTGTATAAAAGACACCTGGGAGCCAGAAATCTTTCTGATTGAGAGGGGGTCAAATACTAATTTCCCTCATTAAAATGCAAATCAATGTATAACATTTTTGACATGCGTTTTTCTGGATTTTGTTGTTGTTATTCTGTCTCTCACTGTTCAAATAAACCTACCATTAAAATTCTAGACTGATCATGTCTTTGTCAGTGGGCAAACGTACAAAATCAGCAGGGGATCAAATACTTTTTTCCCTCACTGTATATCACAATGTTCACAGCCGACACTTGGGGAACACGGGGGGGAGACGTTCATATGTCACAATGTTCACAGTCGACACCTGGGGAACACGGGGGGGGGGGGGGGGTGACGTTCATATGTCACAATGTTCACAGTCGACACCTGGGGAACACGGGGGGAGGTGACGTTCATATGTCACAATGTTCACAGTCGACACCTGCGGAACATGGGGGGAAGATGTTCATATGCCACATTGTTTCACAGCCGACACCTGGGGAACACAGCAGGTAGATGTTCATATGTCACATTGTTCACAGCCGACACCTGGGGAACACAGCAGGTAGACGTTCATATGTCACATTGGCGATAAATATCTTATTTCAAGTCAGTCCTATCTAGATGTACTGTATGTATCATTAAAACCTCTACAGATCCCAACAGATGCCTAGCCCATTGTTTTTAATAAACAACATACTACATTTACATTTAAGTCATTTAGCAGACGCTCTTATCCAGAGCGACTTACAGTTAGTGAATGCATATATATATATATTTTTATACTGGCCCCCCGTGGGAAACGAACCCACAACCCTGGCGTTGCAAACGCCATGCTCTATCAACTGAGCTACATCCCTGCCGGCCATTCCCTCTCCTACCCTGGACGACGCTGGGCCAATTGTGCGCCGCCCATGAGTCTCCCGATCGCGGCCGGCTGCGACAGAGCCTGGATTCGAACCAGGATCTCTAGTGGCACAGTTAGCACTGCGATGCAGTGCCTTAGACCACTGCGCCACTCAGGAGTATTACACACATGGATGGAAATCTAGTAGGACATTTGCCAAGCTAGCCCGAGATGCAGGTGAAATGTTGTCTTTACCATCATCACATAGCAGATTTTGGACCTGGGCTGGCTAGTATCCTTAAGTTCAATCACTGATCAGCATCTCATACATCCACCTACCTTCTCCTCTGCTGTGACTTTCTCCTGGTCCAGGACAGTTAGGTGTTGAAGGAGGAAGATCACTGCCAGTCTATAGTCCAGCTGCTCCTGGGGTTGAAACGACAGTGAAAGAGGCAGCATTTTCATGGATATGTCTATTGTCAGTACAGAGCACGCAGACAGCATTAGGGAGATAACTTGTTAGTTTAGTGATGTGTTCTGGGTGTAGGTGCAGTGCAGCTACCTGGACTGGGTTTCTCTGCAGATTCAGCTCCCGGAGCAGCCACAGGTCATGGATGTGTGTGGCCTCCTTAATTTCACTGATCTAAGAACAGTATATCATACACAAAAAACATCAGATAACAAGAGAGCAGGACATTAAGGAATGAACTGTGCTCACCAGGTTCCTCTCCAGGTTGACAAGAGAGCAGGACATTAAGGAATGAACTGTGCTCACCAGGTTCCTCTCCAGGTTGACAAGAGAGCAGGACATTAAGGAATGAACTGTGCTCACCAGGTTCCTCTCCAGATTGACAAGAGAGCAGGACATTAAGGAATGAACTGTGCTCACCAGGTTCCTCTCCAGGTTGACAAGAGAGCAGGACATTAAGGAATGAACTGTGCTCACCAGGTTCCTCTCCAGGTTGACAAGAGAGCAGGACATTAAGGAATTTAAAGTAAGAAATGAACTGTGCTCACCAGGTCCCTCTCCAGGTTGATGGAGCCCAGCAGATGGAGGTTCTGCAGGCCTGACAGACTTGTGATGCGGTTCAGAGACAGATCCAGGACCTGCAGGGTTCTCAGAGTCTCCACATTCTCTATCTTCTCAATCTGATTCCCCCTCTGGATAGAGAGAACGTGATACATGACAAACACTGGGAATATGAGTACCCTGTGTGGACAAATACACACACACACATATCAATAAACGTACACAAGCTCACACACAACTCCCCCTCCTCCTACACACACCCACATACACACACCCAAGTCACACGCACAGACACATACACACGTCACACGTCACACGCACATACCCACCCCACACCTTCACTATCAAAGTTACCATAGAGTGTTCCCTTCCCCATCTGTAAGGAGTTTAAAACTTCTCCTTGAGACGGCGTGTGTGATTGACAGGCCAGCTCCAACGGTACGGGCTGACAGGTGAGGAGTGACAGGTGAACAGCTGGCCAGACACTGGTGTGGGCATGCCAAAAGCACTACAGACCAGGCCTCCTCTCCTCTATAACCCACCATCCCTCCTCCTCTGTAACTACCCATCCTCACCCCACCTTCCCCCTGCGTGGGCTGTCATCCAGGATCCAGCCCCTGTGCCCCCATGCCCTGCCCTCCACCGCTAGCCTGCCTGGCAGAGAGCTGCTGACAGCGGGGGACGGTGACCGCGCAGAGCCCTGGAAGCTCTCGAGGCCTGGGTGTGATGGGCTGAGAGAGGCGGCTGGCTGACAGGTAGCACACTGTTAGGGAGCGTGGCTGGGCAGGAGAGGGCCGAGAGGGAAGGGAGAGGGGAGATGGAGACAGCGGCTGGTTCCCTGGTTGACAGGGATGCTACGGGGTGAGGTGTGAGGGAGGAAGAAAGGGTGGGGGGTTGAACAGGGTCCAGGCTCACTGACACCGCTGGCAGCTGGCCCCAGAGGGGAGGGGGGAACCGGACAGGGGAGGACACGCTGCATCGTGCTGACGATGAGGAATCACTTTGATAAAGGACACCAGCATCTGTCAGAGAGGGAGAGGGAAGGGTCCGGAGGCCCGCTGGTACAGCCATATGGTGGCTCTCACACTGGAGCTCATGTTGGTGTGTCTTTGAAAAGCTGAAGCTCAATTTTGTCTGGGGTTTAAATATGAGACGGGGGGGAAAGAGTTAAAAATACACCACCTGCTGTTATCATGTTTGAAGAGAAAGAAGTGCTAAAATATTGTGTGCACGCATTACTGGCACCATACTGGGGGAATAACCTTTTTGAAAAGTGATGACATAATGGAAGAATTTATACACCAGGTGACGAGGAGATACATCAAGGTGAAAACAGAAAACAACTGATTCACAGGAAAACACGTGTGTGCTAGTCTGTAGGCCATATTAATTAAACCACAAGACCAACCACTAACCACAGTACAGATGTGCTTGGAGAGCTGCGTCTATACAACAGGATGGGCATATTCACAAATTAGCATAATAACTCAAATATTATCTCTAAGAATCTTTCTAACAATATAATTATTAACGTAAAGCGATATCTCCATATATAGCACACACGAAAAGTTTTAGAAATTAAATCATTCAAGAGGCAGGTGGAGGAGTTAAGACCTACCAGACAGAGGTCTTTGATTGGCAGGTTGTCCAGGCCACTGATACGGGAGATTTTGTTGTGTGCCAGGCTGAGGTGTGTGAGGCTGGCACAATGCAGCAGACCACCAATCTCACTGAAACAGTTGTCTGTCCAGAGAGGGTACACGTTAAGAATGGTATGCAATGAGGAAGTAGTCTAGATAAAAACTTGACGTTTGTGTGTGTGTGTAAATGCTTTTTTAAAGGATACAGTCCAGATTCAGTTTACTCAGAGACGAATAGGCTGACAAATGTGTCATCACTGACATCTGGTTATGGGAAAAGTTGACAAACATGAATAATTATTCAAGTGGACCAATCTTTAAATGATTTTTGCAAGGAAGAAATATGAAAATAAACGACCAAATGTATGCATAGTATAATAAATTCTACTAGTACTGTATAATTGCTAAACAACAAGAAGAAGTCAAACCTGGTAAGTTCCTTGTCATTCAAGGGTAGGTAATACTTAGTAAGCATATGGAATAACACTATAAATGGTCTATGATGATTGGAGCCCATCTTCTGGGACTATAGGCTTACATAAACCCCAAGCCACAAATCAACCATTGTCTTATCCTGTCTGCTGAAGGTCCTACCTTGAGGTTCTTGGGCGGCTGGAATCCAAAAAGTCGGTGAGTTCATTGTGGGAGGCATCCAGGATGATGAGATATGGCATGTGGCTTATACACAGGATAAATCTACCAGTCAACAAACATTAGGAGAGTTGGGCGAGCAGAGTGGGAGAGATGGCAACAGACATATTCCGAAATTGAATTCCACATGACACAAAAACAAAACAAGGAAATAAATGCAACACAAATGGAAAGTAAACAGATTTGTTAGATAATCTTCTGCGATTAGTCTGATGGTAAACAGTTACTCTTTTAAAGTATATTATCAACCTGAAGTGTGTGTGTTGTGTGTGTGTGTGTTCTTACAGGTGCAGAGAGGAACTGATAGACATGCTCTAGTCCAGTGGCAGAGGTTGGATAAACAGCTGGATACTTCCTCTTCAGTCAACACACCATCGTTTTTCTGTATGAGTTGGAGTACACAATAGAAAAAGTAATGCATTGTTTTTATGCACCAAACCTCTGCTGTTATTATGAACCTCTGAGTAGCAAGAGAGAGAAGTTGCTTGCACCATCAAAGTAATTAACATAAACAGCGTTTGTTATTCTCCAAAGACTCATGGCTCATCTGACTAACGCAGTCTCATGAAAACAAGCCAAACTAGCTAGTATCCTTATTCATTTAGCTATGTTACCCCTAGTTTCCTCCCTTACCTCCATTGTCTTCTCCTCCTCTTCCTCGGAGGTTGAAAACGTGTCTGCACACGGCTGATGAACCGCAGCAGGAAATGGTTGCGCATCAGTGGTCTCCTGTGTCATTGACTCATTTGGATAGCAAGTGGGTGACCCAGAGGAATACTGGGGCGTTGTTTGCTTACCGATATCTTGAAAATGTTGAAGTATAAGATTTTTTTTTAGAAATAATACTTTTTCGCTATCTTTACTTACTAATTAGCCTAGGGTAGTGTCGTAGTAAATATATAATGTTATAGCTTGGTCTGACTAAAATCTTGTGCATGACCCATTTTGTGTTGGGCCTTTGTATTCAATACAATGGACAAAAGAGTCCTATCTTGTCAGCCTTGTCAGCAGGTGGCTAAGGACAACACCCACGCCATAGGTCTCTCAGTTCTTCCAACTCACGAGTTCTTGCTCTGAGGACACACACACACACACCCACACACACACACACACACACACACACACACACACACACACACACACACACACACACACACACACACATCATCACTGATAAACACACACACACACACACACACACATCATCACTGATAACACACACACACACACACACACACACACACACACACACACATCATCACTGTTAAACACACACACACACACACACACACACACACACACAAATCCCCTTCTCTTAGGCTGAACATTTGAAGACAGAGAACCCGACTCAGAGCCAATGCAACAGTGGAGGGGACCTCGCCCAACTCATCAGGACCAATCAGAAGATCAGAACTACTAGATTCAACCTACATCATTTACTGTATAAAATGTCTGCACACAATGTTTCGGGGCTCTCTCAGATATCTCCCTACGAGATTGACGAACGGGTCCGTGCACGCGATTCCAGATATCTTTACCTCTGAATAAACTGCCTTTATTATACCATATCCACCCTGTCCAAAGTCTCTACTTGGTCTCAGTTCTCCAGTAAACTTGTTTTATCAACAGTAGCTAGCTATTTTGGGAAGTTTGCTCAGCTGGAGCTAATAGCGTTCTCTCTGTTGCTTAGTAACGATGACGAAGTGTCAGTAGGTGAATTGAACTGTGGGATATGTCGTTTTTGATTCACTTCCCAGCAGTTCATAAATGCTTCCAAATCATGGTTCCCAGGTTCCACCGTCTGGAAAAAGTAATATATTCATGCTTTTGCATTTTTGTGTGCTGAGACAAATATAAGCCATTCCATCATCTAATAACTTTACACTAATCACCATGTTGAAACCTCAATCATGCTCACCAAAATGCAGAAAAAAGCTTGACATACTAGATTTCAAGTAGTGTGCTTTGTACATCAGACATCTTTCAACAGGTCTTGATCATTCTATAAAAAAGCTTTCTTCTGACATCCCATCTGATCTGGCAGGTGTGCTGAATTCCTGAGTGTATATTTTGGATCTGTCTATCTGAAATTACATCGGACACAGTCAATTTGTGTCTGTGAATTTTTTTTGAATAATATGGTGCAACAGCGCATAGACAGACCATGGTGTTTGGGTAGTGTTTCGTTCTGTATGGCATTCGTCAATTCCTCTTTGTCAATGGAAGAAACTAGTCCCTTGATTACGCAAGGTAGGAAACTGGAACTGTTCATTGTACAAAAACACACAAACTGTTCATATAGACAGGGAATTTTGATGTTTTATTTTTCCAGCAAGATCAGTGTACACATTGGCAAATCATCTTTCTTCAATTCAGTGTAAAATCATGAATATTCAAGGCGTTGGTCTGAAAGGGACTTTTAACAGACAATGGAGTAAGGATAAAATAAATCCTTAAATCACACCGGGACACATTAGCATTAACATTCTTATCAGATGTGAAAAATCTAATCAGACATGAAACTACTCTCATATTACATACTGTAGATGTGCAAAAGGACATGTCTTAGCAAACAAACAAATAAAGCAAAGCGTTTAAAAAAAGTGAAATATATGTGTAGATCTTTACAATGAGTTGGCCACATTATTACAAATTTGGGTATAGGGATCAGATATGCCAGATACTTTAAATCCGGATGGAGTGTGCCCTTGTTCACAGAATTGGCAGAAAAAAACTCCTCAATTGTGTGTGGAGTATTGCAAACCCTAGAGACCTCCATAGTGTGTGTGTGTGTGTGTAATATAGTATGTATTTATTGTGTGCATTGTGTGTGAATGTGTACGTGTGTGTCTTGAGTGTGCTGAGTAAAACGAATGCTGTTCCTATGGCGCTAGGCAATCCCTCCGGCAACCACATGGCTCATATTGATCCCAGCCTACGTGTCATTATGATGGATCGTTCCGCTGGGTTCTGGGGAGCAGCACCGCCACAACTCTCCCCTGTTCTCTTTCCTCCCTCCCTCGCTCTTGTTAAGTACTTTTCCTCTGAGTTAATTAACTAAAAATACTGAGGGGAAGGAATGATTTGTAACTCCTTGCAAGTGTATTCACTTTAGAATAGTTTTAGCAGAAGTTTTAGCAGTTGTAGTGGTAGGAAGGGGAGTAGTGATTTGCAATTACATCCCTATTAAGTTCAACACCTTGAGCGTTGGACTATATACACATCCCCTATGCTACAGCTACAGCACAGTCTATGCATATTTTCAGGGCAGACGCAAATACTAGAATCAGAATCGGCTATAGCTACATTATATCCAATCTACATTATTCAAAAATGTAGAGAAAAATAGAGTGAACCACAGCTGAGGTGGGGAACCAATTCCTTTCTTTGTCCTTGGGGAAGAAGAATGGCCAAAAGCAAGAGGAGAGAAGTGATAATCTAGACAGTCTAATCTGGCATCTGGTATAAAAGACACAGTCAGTGGGCCCACGAGGGAGAGCTGGAGGTAGAGCTGTAATTGAGAGCAGCAGTTAGATGTAATAGGAAAATGAGATGAGAAAGGTCCCAAAGCCAGGCTCTCAGAGAATTCCCCCATTCTCCACAGGTGAGACTAGGGCCGACCGCATATGGGATGATTGAAGGGAGTCATTTTTACAAGTTGTAGAGTGTGTGTGTGTGTGTGTGTGTGTGTGTGTGTGTGTGTTTTTTTCTTGAGGAACTGGCTGCATTCTTGCCAGTGAATAAGCAGATGAATTACAACAACAGATGCATATTGGTAACAAAGTTTAAACCTTAAATCAGTAACTACTCAATTTACAGCCTACCAGCATTATCTCAACCCCTAAAACATATTACATGGTTTATTTATGGACCGCAATAGGGATCTAATAAGGACAAACCCAGTTTTACAAACCCAGTTCGACACCAGTCCCTGGGAAGGTGCTGACCAGTCCCTCAGATGGTTAGCTGACACTGTTTAGTCAGCTCTAAAATACTAGCTTTAATCAAAACCCTTTTTCTAGACAGGAGGTTGAGAAACACTGCTCCAGGACATCTGTACTAGGACAGTAATGCTTTACTCTAAACCCTTTTAACAGACAGGAGGTTGAGAAACACTGGACAGTAATGCAGAAAGACCATTGCCAACAACAGACCCCCAATGTCCCCCCTCTCAAACAGTAGTGATCTTCTTGTCCTTGATGGCCTGCTTAAAGGCTGCCTGCTCGCAGATGATCTCCTTGAGGCGCTGCAGCCGGACGTTCTGCGTGCTCAGGTCTCCCACGCCCGTCTGGCTCCTCTGCAGCAGGCTGAGGGCATGGATGTACTCCAGCTCTGTGTAGCGAACGCCCTGGTCCACCACCAGGTTGAGCAGCTCGTCTGCCGCGTTGTACAGCATCTCATAGTACTGCCTAGAAAGGGGAGAAGATGAGTTTAACACTATGATGTTGTTGATCTAGTACTACTGTATCATGCTGCCCCACACACATAACACTATGATGTTGTTGATCTAGTACTACTTTGTGTGTGTGTGTGTGTGTGTGTGTGTGTGTGTGTGTGAGAGCAGAGATGATAAATATACATTCACAAAGGAAGAGATCAGGTCTGAGCCACCGCCATACATATTGATGATGGTTTAATCCATATTTATATTGATGGTGGTTTAATCCATATTTATATTGATGGGGGTTTAATCCATATTTATATTGATGGTGGTTTAACCCATATTTATATTGATGGTGGTTTAATCCATATTTATATTGATGGTGGTTTAATCCATATTTATATTGATGCTGGTTTAATCCATATTTATATTGATGCTGGTTTAATCCATATTTATAGGGAAAACAGTAGCATCGGTAGGCTGTCCTACAAAGCAGACAGATGAAACATACAGTGGGGAGAACAAGTATTTGATACACTGCCGATTTTGCAGGTTTTCCTACTTACAAAGCATATAGAGGTCTGTAATTTTTATCATAGGTACACTTCAACCGTGAGAGACGGAATCTAAAACAAAAATCCAGAACATCACATTGTATGATTTTTAAGTAATTAATTTGCATTTTATTGCATGAAATAAGTATTTGATCACCTACCAACCAGTAAGAATTCCGGCTCTCACAGACCTGTTAGTTTTTCTTTAAGAAGCCCTCCTGTTCTCCACTCATTACCTGTATTAACTGCACCTGTTTGAACTCGTTACCTGTATAAAAGACACCTGTCCACACACTCAATCAAACAGACTACAACCTCTCCACAATGGCCAAGACCAGAGAGCTGTGTAAGGACATCAGGGATAACATTGTAGACCTGCACAAGGCTGGGATGGGCTACAGGACAATAGGCAAGCAGCTTGGTGAGAAGGCAACAACTGTTGGCGCAATTATTAGGAAATGGAAGAAGTTCAAGATGACGGTCAATCACCCTCGGTCTGGGGCTCCATGCAAGATCTCACCTCATGGGGCATCAATGATCATGAGGAAGGTGAGGGATCAGCCCAGAACTACATGGCAGGACCTGGTCAATGAACTGAAGAGAGCTGGGACCACAGTCTCAAAGAAAACCATTAGTAACACACTACGCCGTCATGGATTAAAATCCTGCAGCGCACGCAAGGTCCCCCTGCTCAAGCCAGCGCATGTCCAGGCCCGTCTGACGTTTGCCAATGACCATCTGGATGATCCAGAGGAGGAATGGGAGAAGGTCATGTGGTCTGATGAGACAAAAATATAGCTTTTTGGTCTAAACTCCACTCACCGTGTTTGGAGGAAGAAGAAGGATGAGTACAACCCCAAGAACACAA